CAATCTTCCACAAGGGGGGCGTCCATCAAGTACATGTTTTCTTCATAACGAAATATTCAAGAGTTAGTAGAAATTCTTCGATCAGTGATTTTTTTTGTAAGGTAAATCACGTACCTCCAAATTTTCGGTGTCGACTGTACACCTTGATCACGCAATGACCTAGTCTCGCGAGAACACGAGACTAGGTCGAGACTTGTGTGGATCTTCTGACCTCCCCCGCCTCCTTGCGGAGTAGGGGTAGGTAGGACTTGGAGGTACGTGATTTACCTTACAAAAATACAGTCTCTGATCGAAGAATTTCTACTAACTATTAATTCTACGTGACTGATGAACCTCTTCAACGAAATATTCGAGGGAACGCATGGCAATGAGTACTTTGGTGGTAAATGAATTGAATGAATGAAACACCTTTTATTGTATGTTTATGCTCTTACAAGCTAAGTACAGGTCATGAAAAAAAACGGGAAAAGAATACAGCAATAACACATACTAATAACACACGAACGCCATTTTGTATTAGAATGTGGATTGTATAGCAAAGAGAGAAATGAACTGTTTGTATAAATTCACAAAACCTATTTCCCCATTTCATACAGTTAAGCACTGTAGAAAAATTAATATTCTTAATACAACTGAACAAACCATCCATCGAAAAACCTATTTGCTCTCTCTTTATTTCTGTGATAGCTAAAAAACGAGGAAAAATTATATAAAAATAGTTTCTGTTAGTTACTAACGATAGCTGCATCTGTTAACTGAATTTGTTCATCTTGTTTTGTTGTGACCTGTACTTAGGCAAATGTGGCAAAAATGTGCATTAATGGTCGTCATTCATTAATTCATTATACTAGTCTATTCTAAAACTATGACTACAGCATATAAAATTTGACATTCCCAAAGAAAGCAAGATAGACCTATTATCCAAAGGAGTCTGCTATGATAATCCAGCACTATTATACCATTTGGTGTCGCTATTCTTATTAACTAAAGGCAGCGGACTATAATATCCTCACGCTCCTCAGAGACAAACGCTTGTAGTTTCATATCAAACTCAACGTGATCGTTTCAAACGCACCAAAGCGTGCGAACAACGCACTGCTGTCTGTAATTAGTCAACGTTACAGCTTGGCTAACACCAATGCTCAGAAGATTATGCTTTTCCTTGCCAAATAGTGGCATCGTATCAATCAGGTTTTACCACCGACCTGCTGCTTTGTTCAAGCGAATCCTTTCCAAGAAAATTACCCTTGTAACAGATCTATCTGATACAGGAGACGGGCATTGCATCGATACTTGACATTGCATCAAGGACGCGGCTGCCTATACTAGTAGTTAGGGTGGCTCTGTGTCCGAATAAGAATCCAGTTGGAAAGAGCATTGCATCAATACTAGGCATCATTGCCAAGGGTGCGACTTCCTATACAATAGTTAGGGTTGCTCTGTCTCTGAATTAGAATTCAGTTGGAAAGAGCATTGCATCAATACTAGGCATCATTGCTAAGGACGCGACTGGCTATAGTTAGGGTGGCTCTGTCTCCGAATTAGAATCCAGTTGGAAAGAGCATTGCATCAATACTAGGCATTATTGCTAAGGGCGCGACTGACTAAAGTTAGGGTTGCTCTGTCTCCGAATTAGAATTCAGTTGGAAAGAGCATTGCATCAATACTAGGCATCATTGCCAAGGGCACGACTGCCTATAGTTAGGGTGGCTCTGTCTCTGAATTAGAATCCAGTTGGAAAGAGCATTGCATCAATACTAGGCATCATTGCTAAGGGCGCGACTGCCTATAGTTAGGGTTGCTCTTTCTCTGAATTAGAATCCAGTTGGAAAGAGCATTGCATCAATACTAGGCATCATTGCCAAGAGCGTGACTGGCTATAGTTAGGGTTGCTCTGTCTCTGAATTAGAATCCAGTTGGAAAGAGAGGCGGCGAACCGACAATTTAAATGGAAGATTAGCCTCTATCAGACTTCAGATAAGCGGCGTCAAACTGTACTCTTTTTGGTAAACTGCTTCCTCTGACATTGTTAGCTGCCTATTTAGCCAATTTCTACTCTCTACTGAAATCTAGCCACATCTGAAGCCTGGTGGTAGAGGCTGATGGAAAAGTACTGAGAAGTTAGACCTTGTAGAGATGGGTGTGGGAGCACGGCCAACCACCAGTAGCACAATGACGATCCTACATGTGATGATGGTGGTTGCTTCAGACCGCTAACAGTGTTAGGTTGAAAATATGTGATTTCTGTCAAGACGCGTTACAGTTGAAGTACACGCGTTACGTATTCCGCACGATTGCTCGCGCGCGTATCAACGATTCACGGCATCACCCTGCATCAGTCCCGGGCAATCTCTCTGGTAAAACTACCCCGCCTGCACACTACGCCAGCTGAGGATGTCCTGATTCCTTCTACCAGATTGCCGGTACACTGAGAAGCACGCTGTGGGAATACCGACTAGTCTCATGTCACCTCGGGGTCTGTGGAGCTTCCTCCGCCCCCGCTGAGATCCTGATAGCCTTACAAACGCTAGCTGTTATCATGCGGGGGCGGCGTGGGTCTCGCGGTGGGTTACGGGGATGGATGAAGGTGGTGCCGATGCTATAGCCGCCGGTGCGGTGTTTGAAAACAAGCGTACTTTTAAAAAACGCAAAAGCTAAGCCGGCGACATGTACATTATGTAACCCCGTTCAACGTAATATATGCTAGATTTTTAGGCGAGGGGGGGGGGGGCTAAAAGTGCCCGCGGCAACTTTGATGTCACATAGCGTCTAAACGGCTAAAGCTAGAACCGCCAAACTTGGTGACTTTTCCTAAAATATTGTTGGCAACAAATCTGTATCAGTGGAATAAGATTATGATTTTTCTTGTTGCCATGGCAACGGGTTTCTGACAGGCATTTTTTGCCAAATATAATAATTTCCATTTAAACAACAGAATTTTATGGGTTTTATGTCAAGTTACACATTGTTTCTAATATTAATAACATCACATATAATTATATGTAAATTTCATCATTAAAATGCATAATTTATGCTAATTTGATGACGTCATTGGCCGAAATCCAAGATGGCGGACCATATCATTAGATCAGGTAAATACAGCTTATTTTCCTTAAAATTTTATCAATACTCCCATTTCTTTTTACAAAAAAGGTTCATATGAACGTCTTTAGTCTGTTTACAATGTATTTTAGGCTTTATCCTGAAAAAAAACTATTTTTCAAAATTCAAGATTGATGATCCAAGATGGCGGATAGGTAATATATGCATGACGTCATTTTATGACGTCACCGGTGTTGCTATGGGCAACATAAGACTTAGTACATCCTAATATTCTGTCATAAACACTTTTGGTAAAGTTATGTCGTATACTGTTTACTTTTCAGGGAATAACCTATCTAGACGGTTTTGGCCAATAAAATCACATTAATGACGTCATAATGACGTCATATTACGTCACAACAACTTAAAAATTGTACATATGATAAATTTTTACTAGTACACCATTCTCTGAAAATTTGGTGGTCCTACGATATACCGTTCGCGAGTTCT